CTGCGTTTAAAACTTTTCACTCTATCGGATGGGTCAATTAATTAATTAAATTAAAGTTATGTTTAGAATACGATATTAAATATATTATAATTGTTATTTAAAAATAAATGTTTTCTATTAATATACGTTAAATTTTCATTATTTTAATTTTCAACTATATAGTAACTTTTTTTAGTTACTGAACGATCTATATATATATATATATATATAAATTGTCACAATGGTATCACAGTCATATGTGAGCCACCGGTGATACACGTGAACGTGTTAAAGAAATTTTCAATACCATTTTCACATTTAATGTGTACTTATTTAATGACATTTGTTTAACATATTATTATTTATTATTTTTTACAGCCCATTTTTATTCCCATTTGAGACAAGACAGTTATTGTTATACGCAACATCCTTTGATCGTGATAGAGCTCTACAACGTCTTTTAGATTCTGCTCCGGAATTGTCAGGATCTGATAGTCAAGAACGTGTTACACCTCGTTTAGAAAGAAGAAAAAGAACTATTTCTAGAACCGATATTTTGAAACAAGCTGAACAAGTTATTCAAGATTTAGCTTCTAGTAAAGCTCTTCTTGAAGTGCAATATGTTAACGAGGTTCATTTTATAAACACACATATATATACATATACATATAATTAATATATATATGGTTTATATTTTTATTAATATTGTTGGTGTTATTGTTTCTTTTAGGTTGGAACCGGGTTGGGCCCAACATTAGAATTTTATGCGCTAGTCTCTAAAGAACTTCAACGTGCTGATTTAGATCTTTGGCATGGTAGTTCTAATCCTACAGATATGGGTTATGTTAATCCTGTACATGGGCTTTTTGCAACACCGATACCATGGAGTACTAAAGTATCACATTTGGCTAAACTTAAAACTAAATTCAAGTTTCTTGGTAAATTTATGGCAAAAGCAATATACGACTCTAGAATGGTACGTTTAACATTTCAATATTAATAATTAACACTTTAATGGCCGCACGTCTACTCAGGGACCAATCATTGGGTTGACAAGTAAATGATTGCGGATTTTGTCGATAGGTGGCTTTTTAAAATCAGTAATGACTTAGTTGTCAACTCAATTATTGAAACAAATTAAATCAAAATTTATGAAATAATACAACATGTGCGAATGTACACATAAAACAATAAATAATTGCAATTTAATAGTTTTCATTTAATTCATCACACACATGTTGTATGAGTGGACACTAACAGTTGGCCCGGCCATCACATGTTGTGTGAGCGGCCATTAAAGTGTTAAAATAAAAGTGTTAATTAATTTATTATATATATATATATTTATATACTGTTGTTATTTTTTAGTTGGATCTACCATTTAGTTTAACATTTTATCGTTGGTTATTGGGAGAAGAACATACGCTTACTTTAACAGATTTAATATATGTTTGTCCCGATATACATCGTACTTTAACAAAATTGCAAGAAGTTGTTAGACGAAAAGAATTAATAGAAAAGGATCAAAGTTTAAGAATAACTGAGAGAGCACAACGAATTGAATCGCTCGATTTAGATGGTTGTCCTATTTCCGAGCTTGGTCTTGTCTTTGAATTACCAGGTTACGAAAATATTGAATTGAGGAAAGGAGGAAGCGACGTGCCTGTCACCATTCATAATTTGGATCAATATATCAAGGTATATTAATAAATACAAATCAAAATAATGATTATTATTTATTAAGTTGTTCGAAAAGTTCGTGCCGATTTCTCCGATAGATGGCATTAAAGTTCTATTGCTAAAAAAAATAAACCTGAAAAGTTCTAAAAGGCAAAAATTTTGAAATTACTCTTAAAGATGGAGAAAGATTGTGAGACAGAATGACACTTATATATAATTTGATAAATATATACCAACAAAAAGAAACTTAAATTGCAAAATATCTTCCAACAAAATTGGCACGAACTTTCCGGACAATGCAGTATATAAAATATTAATATAATGTTATATATATTATTATTATTATTATTATTATTACAGTTAGTAACACATTGGTTCCTCTACGAGGGAGTTTTTAGACAAATGGAAGCATTTAGAGAAGGTTTCGAATCTGTATTTCCACCTGCGCAATTGAGATTATTTTTCCCTGAAGAATTGGAAGCAGTGTTTTGTGGACACACCCAAGGTGGTGGACAATGGGATACAAAAACCTTATTGGAATGTTGTCGTACCGATCATGGTTATACTCCAGATTCTCGCGCTATACGTTTCTTATTTGAAGTCTTATCAAAATATGATAGCGAGGAACAAAGACAATTTATTCAATTTGTCACTGGATCACCACGATTACCTGTTGGAGGTAGTATTATTTATTATTTATTTAGTTTTCTTTTTTTATGGTAATATTAGGTTGACCGGAAAGTAGTAATGTTGCTTTCTAACCTTAAATTTATTATTATTTATTATTTAGTTTTATTTTTCTTTTTATTATGGTAATATTAAGTGGACCAGAAAGTAATATTACTTTCTAACCTTAAATTTATTATTATTTATGTTTTTTTTATTATTCTTTTTTTTATAGTAATATTAGGTGGACAGGAAAGTAGTAATGTTGCTTTTTAACCTTAAATTTATTATTATTTATTATTTATTTATTATTTATTTTTCTTTTTTTTATGGTAATATTAGGTAGACTGGAAAGTAGTAATGTTGCTTTCTAACCTTAAATTTATTATTATTT